TGCCCCGTTTGGAGACAATCGTTTGAAGATCCTGAAGCGCGCCAAAACAACATTCTCGGGACTGCAACGCCACGAAAGAACCTGACTGTTGCGTCTTGACGATCCTGAACCGTGCCAGAACACCACTCCTGGGACTTCAACACTGCGAATCCGCGTAACTGTTGCATCCTGAACCGTTCAAAGACACCGTTTCTGGTACGCTAACGATGGGAACACGTGGAACTCTTACACATGTTTAAAACGAATATGCGCGGCGCTGAGGCGATAACAACATTTTGAAGACAAGCCGCCCTCCATCCGCGAAACTCTTGCGAATGCTTAACACAAGTGTGCGCGGCGCTAATGCGAGAGCCGCATTTTGAAAACGACCCGCCCCCAATCCGTAAAACCCTTGCGAATTGTTTTGGCGAGTGTGCGCGGCGCTGACGCGAGAGTCACAATTTGAAAACCACCCGCCCTCAATCCGTGAAATTCTCGCAATGTTTAAGACGAATGTGCGCGGCGCTCAGGCGAGATTCACATTTTGACAACCACCCGCCCTCAGTATGTGAAACACTTGCACACGTTTAAAACGAATGTGCGCGGCGCTATGGCGAGGGCCACATGTTGAAAAACACCCGCCCTCAACACATTAATCGCCAGCCAAGTTTTCAAACGGATGTGCGCGGAGCTAAATCGAAATCCACATGTTGAAAACCACACGCCGTCAATATGTGAAACTGTTGTCAAGTGTGATGCTTCCTTCCTACCAGAACATTAATGATAAGGACGTCTCAGAGGAGAAAGACGAAAAAAAGGAGGAGGCGGAGGAGGAGCAGGGAGGAGGCGGGAGAAGATAAGGAGGAGGAGGGCAGGCGGGGGAGGCAGGAGGGAGGGTTCCTGCGATGCAGGAGGAGAGCGGCGACGACGACGACTGGGAGGTGGGGCGGGCCCGTGCTGCGGGCACTCCTCCGGTACTCTCAGGCTGGCCCTCCGCAGGGGGCTCCGCGCAGAAGCGGCTGCCCATGGCTGGCCCCCCCCCCCCGCCGCCACCCACCCGCGGCGACGAGCTCGGTGCCGGGTCAGCGGGAGCAGCGCGTCAGTGCTGAAGAAAGGGTGACCCTCCTCCTCCTCCTCCTCCTCCTCCACCTCTTCTTCCTCCTCCTCCCTCCTCCACCTCCTCCTTCTCCTCCTGCTCTTTCTCCTCCTCCTCCTCCTCCTCCGCCTCCTCCTCCTCCTCATTCTCCTCATCCTCCTCATCCTCCTCCTCCCCCTCCTCCCATCGACCCCGCGGCGAGGAGGTCGATGACGGGTGATCGGGATGCAGTGCGTTGGTGCTGACGAAAGAGTGAATCCTCTTTTGCCCTCCTCCTCCTCCTCTTCCTCCTCCTCTTCACCCTCCTCCTCGTGGTCCGATTGTGCCTCAGCATCTGGAGGCACCTCTGCGGTTGGCAATGGGTTGGCTGGTCGCGTCTGGCTCTCCAGCGCTCCGTCGGGCTCAGGGCCCAGATCCTTTGGGACTGGGTGGCCCCCCAGGTTTTGCCTGATCTCCAGGAATCTCTGCGGGGTAGTCCACGGGTGGGCTGTTGGCCCCTGTGGGCGCCTTCCCTCGCTGATTGGGGAACCTGCGACGCTCCGCGTGCTGCGCGCTGCGCCGTGCACATGCCATGGTGTCTCCGCTGCAGCGCTGGATGGCCGGCGGCGCATGCACGCCGCCAGACGCCCTTTAACTGGACGCTAGGCTTGACTACCTACCAGACCACCCCAACCCAACCCGAAGACCCGAATTTCGGGTTGGGGGGGGTAAGGGTTCCACATGTGTTTTTTCGATGTTCCCCGAACCCCCCCCACTGGAAATCGAGGGTAAATCTGAGCCTTCGGGTTGGGTTGGGGTGGTTTGGTGGTTGGTGAAAGCTCGCCTGCAGATCTCTAAGGCCAGACTGCCGACCACCTGCATCTGCGGCCAGTGGAGAAGCGATCACGTGGACCTTGGCGAGCCTGGCCTGGACGCAGTCCAGGACGATGAAGAGGAGGAGGAGGAGGAGGAGGAGGAGGAAACCAGTGTTAACCCAAGATTCATCAACGATGTTGGAATACACCCTACCTCCAAGCTCCCTCTTCGCAGGACCCTGCAATGGTTCATTTCCACAGACGGAATTGTCCAGTTGGGGGGCAAATGTGCGAAAATCCGAAAGCGTGCCAAAACACCATTCTCGGGACTTCAACGCCACCACCTAACCTGACAGTTGCATTTTGGCGATCCTGAATCGCGCCAGAACGCAGCTCCTGGGGCTTCCAACACCACGGATCAACGTAACTGTGGCGCTCCGACAACCCTGAATCGAACCAAAACACCGTTCCTGGAATGGTAACTTTGAGAACCACTGGAACTCTTGCGGTTTTGTCCAATGCATCATGTGGTGTTGGGTCCTCGCTTTGAAGAGACAGCGCCCCGTGCCCTCCTCTCCTCTCCTCCCCCTCCCCCTCCTCACCCCTCAATCCTGCCACATCGCCTGTGCCCTCCGCATGTTTCTCTTTCGGCACACCCCTCACACGCTGTGTGGCCCCGTACGGAGCTCCACCGAAGGCCCCAGCGGTAGCGCCCGCATAGCACCATCGCACCCTATGTGTCACAACCCTCACACGTCTCGCGGTCCCACAGGGAGCTCCACCTAAGGCCCCAGTGGCAGCGCCCGCATAGCACCACCGCACCCGTCCCGGCACACCCCTCATACGTTTCGTGGCCCCACAGGGAGCTCCATTGAAGACCCCACTTGCAGCGCCCGCATGGCACCACCACACGTGTTCCAGCACATCCCATGCACGCTTCGTGGTAGCTCCACCTAAGGCCTCAGTGGCAGCGCCTGCATGACACCAGAACACCAGTTGCGGCACACCCCTCGCGCGTCCCGTTGCATAAGGAGCTCCACCAAAATCTTCAGCTGCAGCGCCCGCGTGGCACCACGGCGCCCGTTTCGGAACACTCCTCACACGCTTCGTGACTCCATAGGGAGCTCCACCAAAGTCCCCAGTGGCAGCGCCCGCATGGCACCGCCGACACGTTTCGGCATACCCCTTTACACGTTTCGCAAGGAGCTCCACCAAAGCCCCCAAAGGCAACGCTCGAATAGCAGCACCACACCTGTTTCGGCGCACACACCTACACACACACCACAAGTTCCGTGGCCCCCAGGATGGCTCCGACGAAAACTCGCCGATACCAACAATGCGGCACTCACAACTGCAGAAGGTTTGGTTTGCTCTACACCAATAAGATTTAAACGAATGCGGGCGTCGCTTTCGCGGGAGCCACATGTTGAAAAGGAACCGCCCTCAATCCATAAAGTTCTTGCAGCGTTGTCAAAACGAACGCGCGCGGCGCTAAGGCGAGAGCCACATGTTGAAAAGGAGCCGCACTCAAGCCGTAGAACTCTCTCAAATTGTTGAACCGAATGTGCGCGGCGCTAAGGCGAGAACCACAATTCGAAAACCACCCGCCCTCAACCCGTGATACTCTTACGGATATTTAAAGACCAACGTGCGCGACACTAACACAGAACCACATGGTCAAAACAGCCCGCCATCGATCAACGGAACTCTTGCAATGTTTTGGAAAACGTGCGAGAGGCGCTATCCGGAGAGCCACATTTAAAAAAACGGCTCGCCGTCAATCGGTGAAGCTCTTGCGCATGTTTGAAACGAAAGTGCGCGGCGTTGCAGCGAGAGCCACATTTTGAAAACCACCCGCCCTCCATCTGCGAAGCTTTTTCTAAATGTTAGGCTTCAGGCTCATGTATGGGTCTCATGCAAAACGCCCGGCCCGCCCATCCGACTGCCTGAGGGTGCGATAGGGGCGATTGGGGGGGAATCCATTCGTACGCCAAATGAGCAGAGGAGGAATTGGAATTGGAATTGGAATTGGAATTGGAATTGGAATTGGAATTGGAATTGGAATTGGAATTGGAATTGGTGAAGACGCGAAGCGTTAAAAGACGAATTACCCAGGATCAAGGCCTCTGGCAATCCGCTCTCTCCGAAAGAGAACCTTAGGCCAAAGACCGTCGCTGATCCTGGAAAGGTACACTCTAGTGGTCGCCGTGGGTTGCCCTCCACAAGTCTCACGGAGGGACCGAAGTTGGGCACTCAGTCTCGCTATAAACCCACAGGCTGCACAATACCACAGGGCCAAATCCGTGTGATAAAAGGGCGTGTAAGACGCGTGTATCCACCCCCCAGCACACTGAACTTGTTTATGGGCAGGCACCTTCAAAAGGATTCCGTCGACGGGCTCCAGTTTAAAACACGGGGTTCGCAACCAGTCAGCGAGAGCCTTATGTGAGGCTGAGGTTTTTACAAATCTTGCACTGGCGACCACTATCGCCAAGGAGATGGGACGAACACAGTTGAGCAACTATTTTGGGGGCAGGCGGTGGCTTGTGGTGCTTCTTCCGACGATCCTCCTGCGGCCTGGGGTCGGCTGCGACAGCATCCACATGGGCGCGCAGGAGCCTTTTGCGCACGAGCATAGCTGTGTACTCTGCCTTGGCAATGCGTGTGCGGACCTCCTGTGGCAATCTGTGCTCATGAGCAGCCTCGCCAGCAGCCGTATCAGCCAGCCTGTTCCATTCGACCATCCATGAAGGAATGTGTTGCTCTCACGCCTCCTCATCCGAACGATGTGAATTCACGAACAAAACCAAGACTTGTGCTGGTCTGTTCGTGCCATGCAGATGTTGTCCAATCCTGGCCCAGAGGCCCACGTCACTGTCAGCAGATCGCGGCTTCTGGAAAACTTTGTTGTTTCATCCTTCCGCCACTTCTTGATTGTCTGTGATGTAGATCAACCAGCCTTGCGCCAGATCGGTTGCCGCCTCCAGGGCAGCTATTTCACCACGAAATACCGCTTTCCGCCGCCCTGGGAGGCCCATATTGCCAGTGCTGCCCGCGCGAAATGGAGCTTTGCTGACCATGGCGACCAGGGCTGCACCTACTCTGCGCTGGGTGCTCTTCGCTGTGTTTGGTCCTCCGCTGGCGTCGCCGCAGATGAGAATTGGCTCGCCTTGCGTGCCCCCGCCTAGGGCTCCGACACCAAACACAGTGTTGTCGTCGAGCTCCCACCGTGCGTCTTCGACTGGTGGCGGGGTCGCTGTCCATGCATGGGGTAGAAGCCCTCGAAGCCAGAAGACGGGACATTGCTCGTGCTGAACCATCGCTTCTGGAAGACGGCAATCTGATTGCTGACAGGCACGCTTGTCCTTGTTGTGCGGACGCGTCCAACATCGCTGAAAGAGCGTCTCCACATGCATGACTCCGTCCGCGTAGCATCGCGGGCACATTCGCAGGTGGTCCTCTCCTTCCTGAACTTCTGCCATGAGCCGTTCACGAGGCCATGTGCCTCCGACAGCGATCGCCAGCATAAGCTCCTTGACGACATGTCCATTAGGAGCGTCTGCAAGCGACTGAATGAAAATTCTGTAAGAATAATTGTCAATGCCATCTGATGCTCCTTCACCACAGTAATGCGCCGCAGCCTGACGCCAGAGATGCCGTTGTACGGACCCCGTGAAATCGTCAAGGAGCTCAGAGATGTCTTCAGCGCCAAGAAGGTCCTGATCTGGAAGGTCCACTCAATGTCCTCGCTGCCACTCTCGTCGCTGGGAAGGTGCCAGTGCGGAGGAGAAATTGGGTCCCAGCCATACTGCAACAAAAGAACGATCACTGCGCTCATGAGGCCTCGAATGTGTCGAGTCCTCTGCGCGCAAGCTGTCTCGCGCGGAGGAGGAGGAGAAGGAGGAGGAGAAAGAGGAGGAGGAGCGCGCGTACCCAGAAGAGGACGGTGCGTACTAGCCATGGCCACTCAGCACCGCCGCGCGCCTCTCGGGATACCGGCGAAGAAGCGTCTGCAGGATTCCTTGAAGGCGCCGCGGATAGCGGCGAAGTAGAACACGAGGAGGACGAGGAGAAGGCGGGGGGACACGAAGAATAGATGGATAGATGGATGCAGGGCGGTGGGCGCGCTCGTCCGAGGCTGGGGCGCCGCCGCTTGTAGCGCGGTCGCGGCCGCCGCGGCCGCGGTGAGGAGAAGGCGCTCGGCCTCCTGCGCGGGGGGGCGGAGGGAGCAGTGCGCTGGGCTGACGCAGGGGAGGCGAAGTCCAGACAGAGCAAGTCCATACGGAGACGGGGCACTCCGTACAGGGCAGTTTTTGATACATGGGATGTTCTGAAATATAGGATTTCTAATATATGACTAATTTATGAATAGCTTGATGCATGAACTAATCGTGGTTTTAAATACTTAAACCTGCATTTGTTATACATGATCCGCACGCGGAGCATGTATTAAAAACGGCACTGTATGGACTTACTCCATGTGGACTTCGACTCCGCCGAGTCAAGCAGGTCGGATCAATGCCGTCGAGGGCCGGAGAGGGATGCTTGCGATCTCCGCGCGCCGGATGCAGATCCATTCGCTCGAGTACACGCCATCATCCCACGAGGCGGGGCCTCGCGTCCACATGGCTTCGCACGAGCTCCAGGGAGGCCCGCTGGCCCGTGCGCCTATCGTTCTTGTCACAGAGCCCGAGCTGAGATTGCAGTCGTCGCACTGGTGGTCGGGGTGGTTCGGGTGGAAGCGAGTGTTGGGAATGTGGGCTGGCCGAGGGATGCGACCAGAGGGGCGCGGGAATGCGGGCGCTGCGTGGGGGACTTGGCCCTGCGCGCGGCGTGCACGATGGCTGCCCTCGGGGTGGAGGAGAGGAAAAGGAGAGAGCGAGGATCGGATCGACCAGGCCAACGGGCTTGTCCGGAACCACTGCGCCGTCTGGGGGGGGGGGGGGCGCGGGCGCCGCGGTGGGGGAAGAAATGCCTACGCCGCCGCGCCGCCCCGAGGGAAAGTCCTCGGGGGAGCGGCTGGAGGACGAGAAGGAGGAGCGCGGAGGCACGGAGGAGGGAGGATCGAGGAGGAGGAGGAGGAGGACGGCCGAGGAGGATCGAGGAGGAGGCACACCATGCCTAAAACAACATCTCTGGTAGTGCTTATGCAGCCCTCGTGCTACCGTAGGGAAGGCGGAGCATCGGAAACGACGGGGCTGCTCCTCGGGTCACGGCGAGCCTCGACGCGGATGGGCTCCTGGGACCTAGCTTCAGGTCGGGCATGTCCTCCTACAGGCGGATTTGAGCAGAAACGAGTCCTCAATAAACACGAAGGAGGGAGGAGGAGGAGGAGGAGGAGGAGGAGGAGGAGGAGGAGGAGGAGGAGGAGGAGGAGGAGGAGGAGGAGGAGGAGAGTAGTTGGAGAATCGTCCCCCGAGCAGTTGTCCGCGTGTCTTTTGGACCGACTCCACCCGGAGGGCCCCACCACAGCCCAGACCTCGGGGACGGCCCGAGAACCCGAGCCCAAAATGGCAGCCGGGCATGTCCACCTACACCCTGCGAAATGCTTAAGAAATCATGGGTTAAGAAATTCATAGTCTCAGAATTTGAATAAAAGCCCAAAACTTCTATCAAAATCATAGGATTTACATTGAAACATTAAGAATAATCGAGACTCTGGCCGAAAACGTAAGTTTTCTTAAGCATCGCCTAAGGTGTACAGGTGGATCCTGAAGGAAAATTAGAAAATAGCCCCCCCAAAAAATCAAACATAGTCGAAAGATCGTCCCCGGACTAGCTCGTATAGAGTCACAACAAAAAAAACTATGTTTGAATGTGCCTCCTGCAGAGGGGCATGCCCGACTTCACCCCACCTGCCACTACCACCTTGGCCAGGGGCCTCAGGGGCCCCCAAGGTGGAGGAGCAGGATGGAGCACTGGGTGGCCAGGCCGATCACCCCATGCTAGGGGAACAAGCAGCGACACGAACAGAAGAACTCGGAGATCCACGACGATTCTTCGGATCGGCGCCGGGGCCTCCCTGACGGCGCCTCCTGCGCCACCCCTGGCGCGCTCAGCGCACCAAGGGGGGAGCACCATTCGTTAATGACGGGGTCCATAATGTAGCATTGCGTTCTGGAATTATCTTTTGTCCTGCCGGCGTTCCGGCTCAGGTGCTGTTCACTGGTTAAGGCCGGCGCTCCAGCCCTAAGAGAGGGCGCACGCACGTGTGGGCTGGCGAATCAGCACCCGAGGCAACGAAGAGGTCAGGAACACGGGGCGGGGAAAAAGTGCAGCACCCTCGCATCGCTGCTCAGCCCACTCTTCGCTTCCGCTGCTCTTCGAGGCGAGGGGGCTTCAGCGCAGGCCCGAGGAGCCTGCGCGGAGCTCCGAGCTCCTGCATAATGTTGATATCACTGCTTGCTCCCCTGATCATCTCCCCCCTCCTCGAAAAAGGACAGCGGCGCCCTGCCGGTGGCTGCCGGTGGGACCCGCGTCGCGCGCGGCGGCCGCCCCCTGGGGCGCCGAGCGGCGCGCGCCGCGGACTTGGGATCGCTGCACAGGCGTTGCGCGTCAGAAAGAAGATGGGACGCACAGAGACGGACTAATATCAGGTGTCCTCCTTGGAGGCGCGAGACCGACCCGAACGTATAGTACACCCATCTTGCAGCAACATGAAGTAAGCCCATATTGTGGTATATCGTTGCCCGAGCGGTGTGACCAGAGAACGCCCGCCACGACGCAGATACTGCAAGACTTCTCGGTGCGCGCGTCGCCCCTAGGGGGGAGACGCACACACACACACACACACACACACAGTATTAGTCAGTTGGCTGACGCCGAGAGGAAGGAGAAGGGGAGCGGACGGGAATGGCAGTGCTCGTTTTCGCCGCGCCTCGCCTGGAGAGCCCAGGCGCGCGCACTGCTGCCAGTGCAACCGCCGCCGACCGCTGGAGCGGCGGCCTGGGAATTCGACAGGCTGCCGCGCAGGGCCCGCTCGGGCTTGGGGGGCAGGCTCCCAGGCTGCTCGCGCCGACAGGCCTTGTGGCACTGGCCGTCTCGCACCCATGAGGTCTGGCGTCGCGACAGAAATCAAATATTGCACAACAAATCTACACCGGAGCCCCGGACCCCATCTTTCCGCGCCGTTCTTCGAGCCGGATCGATCCGTGATGCCCCCAGGGCTCGACACTGGGCGAAAACGCCCAGCGTGAAAAAACGGCAGCGCCAGGATCTCAGGAATTCGCACGCCTCCGAAAGAGCAGCCGCCCAGGAAAGGAGCCCGGACCTGGCGATGCCATGGGCTCTCGGCCTCTATCGGCTATCGGTGGGCCATGCGTCGCCGCATGGCCGGGCTCGGATCAAGACTGTGGGCTGGACAACGTCCGCGTCGCAAGGTCGGCTTGCTCGGTATGCCCCTCCCTTCTCCAACTCCGCTCTCCTACTCCTCCCGTTTTCTCCTCCCTGCTCCTCCCGCTTCCTCCTCCCTGCTCCTCCTCCTCATCCTCCTCCTCCTCCTCCCCTCCTCCCTCCACTTCCTCATCATCATAATCCCTCCGCCTTCTCCTCCTCCTCCTCTCCTCATCCTCCTCCTCCTCCTGCTCCGCGTCCTCCTCCTCCACCTCCTCCTAAATCCCATCTGCTTGAAGATACTTCCTCCCTGTCGCACCCGCAAACGTGAAGCGCGGACCAGGCGTTTTGCCTGAGTTCCTCACCGAAACTTGAAAATTGCAACAAATTCGTGGACGGATCCCAAGCCGTTTTCAAAATGTGGCTCTCGCCTTGGCGCCTCGCCCATTCCTCCTAACTACTTGCAGCAGCTTCACGGATGGAACGCAGGTCGTTTTCAAAAGACTGCCCTCGCCTCAGCGCAGCACACATTCGTCTAAAAGTGTTGCAACATATCCACGGATGAAACGCAAGTCGGCATCAACAAGTGGATCCCGCCTAAGCACCGTGGACTGTCATCCTAAAGTTTGCACCAAATTCACGGACGGAAGGGTGTGGCTTCAAAACAATACGGCTCTCGCCCTGGCGCCGCGCTCGCATTGGAGCCGCGCACATTCGTCTTAAAATGCCGCAGCAGCTTCACAGATGGAGCACAAGTGATGCCCACTATGTGGTTCTCACTAAAGCGCCACGCACATTCGCCCGAAAGGTTCGCACTCGCTTCATGGATGGGAAAGGGCCGTCTTTCGACTGATGCTTTCGCTCTGGCGCCGCACACACTCGTCTTAAGAATTCGTGACAGCTTCACGGATGAAAGGCGGTCTGTTTTCAAAACGCGGCTCTCGTCTCAGCGCCGCACGCATCCGTTTATCATTGTAACGTCTAGCAGGATGGAGGGCCTCGAAATTCAAGGAACGTCACGCTGCACGGATACATGGCGGTTATTTGTCAATATGGAGCTGTCGTTCGCTATTTCCTTAGACTTCATGACCACAAGCGCGAGCGTGTGCAATAGTTGCACCTACGGGGAGCGTTCTTCGAAACAATATCGCTGGACACCTCGATGAATTGCATGGTCATGATTCTCAAAGTTCCCACGGTCCTGCCTTCGGGCGAGAAAGATGCAAGGTAGCTCCTGCTCACAATGGTTCCCCTGGCCAAAATGGCCAGCCAAGACGTGTGTGTGTGTGTGTGTGCTTGTGTGTGTGTGTTTGTGTTTGTGTGGTTGTGTGATTATGTGGTTGTGTGTGTGTGTTTGTGTGCTTGTGCTTGTGTGCTTGTGTGTTTGTGTGGTTGTGTGGTTGTGTTTGTGTGTTTGTGTATTTGTGTGTTTGTGTGTCTGTGTTTGTGTTTGTGTTTGTGTGTGTGTTTGTGTGTGTGTTTGTGTATTTGTGTGTCGGTGTGTTCGTGTGTTCGTGTGTTTGTGCTTTTGTGTGTTTGTGTATGTATGTGTGTGTTTGTGCGTGTGTTTGTGTCGTTGTGTGTTTGTGTGTTGTGTGTTTGTGTGTTTGTGTTTGTGTTTGTGTGGTTGTGTGCTTGTGTGC